ATCGTGGCATCTATGGAATGATTGGAATGAAGGATATTTACTCTTTTTTTCCTTTTACTTTTTTTTTGTTCGGAATACTCGTGATATGCGTCGACATCCCCTTCCTTATCAGACCTGCATCTGCGGTTCCGCAGATAGAAAAGTCACTCCAGGTGTCGCCTGAAAATTTTATGTCCTTACACTTATTTCTGGAACGTATGCTTGTGTATATATGTATATATATATATGCATATATATGTACATATATATATATATATATATATATATATATATATATATATATATATATATATATATATACATATATATATATATATATATATATATATATACATATATATATATATATATATATATATATATATATATATATATATAATATATATATATATATATATATATATATGTATATATGTACACACACTCACATACACACACACACACACATATCTATATTCATAAATACATATATACATACATACATACATATACACACACACACACACACACACACACACACACACACATATGTATATATATATATATATATATATATATATATATATATATATATATATATATATATATATATATATATATATATGTGTGTGTGTGTGTGTGTGTGTCTCTCTCTCATCTCTCTACTTTCTCTCTTCTCTCTCTATCTCCTATATATCTTTAGCTATATATATATATATATATCTATCCTCTATCTATCCCTGGTTGTGTGTGGTTACACCCCCATCTCATCTTCACGCATACCTATATGCCTTATTACGAATATATCTTATATTCATCTCTTATATCTATCTCGTCTCTCATACTCATATATCTTATCTTTATCTGTATAATTCTGTATGCATGTATGTAGATATGTATTATGTATGTTAATGTATGTACCGCACACACTACACACAATATCTATATATGTATAGTTATATATATGTAATATAATAATGGATATCCCTACATAAGCTATATATAATTATAGATATATATAATATATATATATAATATATATATAACTATCTATATATGTAACCTATATATATATCTCTATCTCTATATATATATATATATATATCTCTATATAGTCTATATTATATCATATACTTGTATGTGTGTGTACACACACATATCTATATCACACATACATATATGCATATATATATATTATTATATAGTATCTATATATCTATATCTATATATCTTACTCTACTCTATATCTCTTATCTCTTTCGCTGTATCACTGTAGTCTGTATGTATGTATGTAGTGATGTATGTATGTCTGTATGTACACACACACATCACACGATTCTATTATATATCTCGTATCTATCTATACTTCTCTATATCTCTACTAAAGCTCTATAGTCTATCTATCTATATCTCGTATATAATTTAATTTATATATGTCTATCTCTATATCCCTATTATATCTCATCTCTCCTCCTCTCTATCGACTCTATCTCTCTCTCTCTCTCTCTTCTCATCGGCCTCTCTCTCCCTCTTTCTCTCTATCCTCTCTCTCTCATCTCTCTCTCTCTCATCTCTCTTCTATTCTCTCTACTCCTCTCTATCTCTCTCTCTACTCTCTTCTCTTCTTCGCTTTCTCTCTCTCTCTCACCCCTCTCTGATGTCTCTCTCCTCTCTCTCCTCTCTCTCCCTCTCTCTCTCTCTCCTCTCTCCCATCTCTTCTATCTCTCTCCTCGGTGTCTTCTCTCTCTCCCTATCTCTCTTCGCTCTTCTCATCATCTCTCTCTCTTCTCTCCTCTCTCCTCATCTCTGCTTCTCTCCTCTCCTCTCTATCTTCTATTCTCTCTCATCTCCCTCCTCTCTCTCTCTCGGTCTCCTCTGTGGTCTGGTCTCTCTCTCTCCCTCCCTCCATATATATATGTTTGTTGTGTGTTTGTTAGTGTGTGTGCGTGTGTACATATATTCTATATATATAATATATATATATATCTATATTATATATATATATATTATATATATATAGTATATACTGTACATATCTAGACATAAGTGAATGTGCGTGTACGTGTGTGTGTGTTGGGGGGTACATACATACATCCATACATACATATATGTATATTTATATATGTATGTATGTATGTTATGTATGTATGTATGTATGTATGTATGTATTGTACGCCCACACCTACACACAGATATATATATATATATATATATATATAATATTATTATCTATATATATATATATCTATATATAGATAATCTATTTATATTATATATATGTCATATCTATCATCTATTCATCATCTATCTCTGAGCTCTCTCTCTAGTATCTATCTATCCTCTAGTATATATCATAATCTCTATCTATATACTCATCTCGCTCTTTCATATCTACTCTCCTCATTTCTCATCGCTCTCCTATCTCGAATATATCTCTCTACTCTTCGCCTCTTCTATCCTCTCTCTCTCTCGTCCTCTCATCTCTTCTCTCATCCTCTCTCATCTTCTCCTGCCTCTCTTCTCCTCGTCTCCATCTACTCGGTCTCTCTTTGTCTGTGTCTCTCTCCCTTCCCGCCTTGCGCCCTCCTTCTCTCCCCTCTTGTGTGTGTGTTTGTTGTGTGATGTGTGCGTGTTGTCCCTCTCTCTCTCCTCTCAGCTCTCCTCTCTCTCTCTCTCTCGTCTCAACTCTCTCTTCTCTCTCTCGCTCTCTATCCCATTCCTCCCTCGCCCTCCGTGCCTGCTGCGTGTACGGTGTGTGTAGTACGGCCCCTCCCTCCCCTACCTCCCTCCCTCCCTCCCTACCTCCCCCCCATCCCTCCCTCCTCCTCCTCTCTCGTCGTCTCTCTCTCTCTCTCTCTCTCTCTCTCTCTCTCCTCTCTGTCTCCTGTCTCTCCTCCTTCCCTCTCTCTCTCCCTCTCTCCGCTCTCCTCCTCCTCTCTCCTCCTCATCTCGTCATTCTCTCTTCCGCATCCGCTCTCTCTCCCTCTCCTCTCTCCTTTCATCATCTCTCTACTTTTCTTCCCTCATCTATCATCTCTCTCCATCTCTCTCTCTCTCGCTCTTCTCTCTCTCTTCTCTCTTCCTCTCTGTATCATCTCTCTTCCTCTCTCTCTCTCCCTCTCTCTCTTTCCTCTATCTCTGTCTCCTCATCTATATCTCTCTTATATCTATCTCTCGATCTATATACTCCTATATATCTTCATCCCATGTACTCTGTGTCTACTACTCTGCCCTATCCTATACCTCTAATGTGTTATTTCTTTTTGTGTTTAATATTGTGGGCTGGTTTGTGTGTGTACCTAATATAATAATGCTCTAAATATATATATATTAATATATACATATATAATCTATATATATATATATATCTATCTCTTTAAATATGTATATATATCTCTCATATCTATCCCTATATCTATGATATATATTATATATACTATGTCACCCACCGCACACACAGCACACATATATACACACACACAGAAAATAAACATATTATTATATATATATGCATACATATACACATATACATGTGTTAGTATATATCATAAATCTATATATAATATATATATATCTCATATATAGATATATATTATATAATATTATGAATTTATATCTATATTGCATCATATCACATATATATGTGTTATTTTCTGTGTGTGTATATATGTGTGTCTGTGTTTGTGTGTGTACATATATAGTCTATATATATATATATAGATATATATAATATATATTCTATTATATATATATATTATATTATATTATATATACATATATATATACATATATATATGTAATATATATGCATATAATATATACATTTATAAATAGATATATATAAATATATATTATATATATATATACATATATAATATATATATCTATATATATATATATAATATGTACACACACAAACACGATATACATATCTACACATCCAGAGAAAATACACTATTATGTATATATATTGCATATATATATACATTCATCCTTACATGAATCTATATATATATATATATATATATATATATATATATATTATATATATATTCTATATATACACACCTGTATATGTGTCTCTCTCTGCCCTCTCTCTCTCCCTCTATCTGTCCTCCTCTCTCTCCTCCTATATCTCTCTCCTCTTCTCTCTCTCTCGTCTCCCTCTCTACTCTCTCCCTCGCTCTCCTCATCTCTCTCTCTCCTCTCATCTATCTGTCGTCTCTCTTCTCTCTCCTCTCTCTCTCTCTCTACCACCCCCTCTCTCTCCCCCCCCCCCCTTCCATCTTTGTGTTGTTGGCCTTTGTGTGTATATATATTTGTGCGTATATATGTGCGCATGGTTGTGTGTGTAACTTCATGCTTTTAATTTTGCCGTGTGCGATTTGTGTGCGCGTCCTCCGCTTTAGACTCTGCTCCCGCACACGGGGAAGAGGAGGCTTTGTGTCTGTTGCATCACCTTTGGCCTACCACCCTTTTAGAATTATCTAGTATTCCATCGATGAATAAGAAAATATTTCGTTCCGCGTTCAGAAAGCCCCAAGATCCGACATCAAAGGTGAAAAATTGGCCGAGTCCTTCTTTTCAAAAGGATTCTTCTATCAATAGCATTTAGATATGGCAATCATGGGATATCTCTTACACAGTTTTCCATTATCAATATATATATAGATATATATATATAATATATATATATATTATATTATATATATATATTATATACACACACATATATATATATATATTTATACTCACCTGGTACCACCATCTCATTCTTAACTATCCGGTCAGATGCGTAAAATAGGCTGGCGTTATCTACTGGGAGAGTCAGTTCTTGTGGTATGTGGACACATGATCTGTCGACAGTGTGACCTCTTCTAGTCTATAGCTTGTGATGTAACTGTCTCCTGCACTGTGGTGCTTGTTCTTTGCTTTTCTACTCCTCTAGTGCACCCTCTCTCACTACTCCTTCTATCTCTCTTTCTTATATCCTTACTCCATTCGCCTTCTCCTCTCTTCTT